AGCCCAGGCCCGCCAAACAACAATGATGGCTGCAACCAAAAGAAGGCCCGGCAGTGTGGTGGGCACCTGTGGTCCCAGCTACTTGGGAGGCGGAGGCAGGAGACTCGCTTGAGCCCAGGAGTTAGAGGTTGCTGTGAGCTGTGACGCCACAGCCCCCTACCCGGGAAGACAGCTTGAGGCTCTGTCTCAAAAAAAGAAAGAAAGAAAAGAAAGGCAAAGCAGACAGGAAGGAGACTGGGAGCGGTTAGGTGGGGAGTAGATTGCGATATTAGAATGGGCTGGGCGAGGACTGCCTAAGAATGCGAATTAGAATCGAGACCAGCAGGGGTTAGGGAAGGTGCAGGTGCCTACAGGAGAGTCACTTAATTTAAGGGCCAAGTCCTGGAGGCTGGGTAGGGCTGGACCTTGGGAGGTGAGCAGAAGACAATGGGGAGGAGGCGAGGGAGTCAGTCATGTGAGCGGGGACAGCAGACAGCGCAGTGTCCTCAGCGTGCAGACACCAACCAACCTCAGGGGTATCACCTGGGAACTTAGAAATGCCCATTCTCAGGCCGGCCTCCGAGATACGCAGTCAGACGTGCTGGAGTGAGCCCAGCAGCGTGAATTCTAACAAGCCAGGAGATCGTGATGTGCGGTGAGATGGCAGCCCCCCGGAGTAGGGGAACCTCAGAGATAAACCAGTTACTCTGATCGCCCACCCCATCACGGCCCTCCTTATTTCGCTCGCGGGGCAGGGGCCAGCCCAACGCTCTGCTGACTTGCCCAGCGCTGACGCCCAGCCGGGTTTTCTCCGTAGCCCGCCGTGCCCCGCGCACCCACCCCCAAACATCAGCTGGACGCGGGTCTCTCTGCAAAGCCCCCAGACGTCCCTGGAGCAGTGCTGCGCTGGGGACCAGGCTCCCGGGGCGGCAGGTGTAGAGGCGCCCGGAGTCGGGGAGGCCAATCCCGGCCCCCGAGAACACAGGGGTGCGGTGGGGCCGCCGGTTACAGCCACCCAGGGGACGCATCCTTCGCCGCCCGCGGTCGCGCCAGCCGGGACGCCCGTGGCCATCCAGATCCCAGAGCTGGGGGCGGTTTCGCGGGCTCTGGGCCGCGCGGCCGGGGTCTCGGGATTCGCGGGCCGCTTCCCCGGGGAGCCGCTGCTGCAAAGCCAGGTTGGGGCGGCCGGGCCTGGCCAGCGCCCTCTAGGCAGCGGAAGTGGAGCTAGCTTTACATCCGTCCTCCCCGCCTCGCAGAGTTGGGAGAAGGCAGGCTGGGGGGGGGTGTGGAAAAATAAAAGGAAAAGTCCTTGCACCATGTAGATCAGCGCCCCCCACCCTGGCACCCCGGCCGGGCGGGGACCTCCCAGTCTGCGACATGAACTCGAGCAGCGAGGGCGAGAGCTTCCCGGGCTCGGTGCAAAGTAAGTGCTTTTCCGGGAGCAGCGCGCGCTCCGGGGCCCTGTGCGCGCTCCGGGGCCCGGGCCCAAGCACGTCTGCGACGCAGCCAGCAGGCCCGGGGCCCCGAAATCGGGGTGACGGCCCGGAGCGGCGTCTCGGGGACAGCGGCGGGCGCGCTGTGCAGGGGACGCCGGAGTAGGCTCGGGGTGGGGGTGCACCCGACCCTGCACCAGGCTGGGGGCGCTCTCCAACCTGGAGAGACCCCTGGGCAGGGAGCGATGGGGGAGGGCATGCCGTGCAGACAATCGCCACCCCCTAAGGGCATTCACGCCCAGCCAGGCGGAGTTTGGGGCGGGCTGCGGGGAGAGAGGGATCTGGGGTAACCTGGGCAACGCTGATGGGAAAACTTCTGCCTCAGTGGCTCAAAATTGGAGCCGGGGAATTGGAGCTCACGAGGTCTTGCCGGCTCGTGCAAAAAGCCTTTTGCACGTTAAGGGCGGGGATCTGAATGGGAAATGGGGCCGTGGGCGCTCTCTTTGAGTTTGGGGTCCAATTTTTATTTTCCTGTAGAGCACATCAGGGTTTTCAAGTCCCTGGTTTCGGCTGGTGCATTGTTTCCCAAAGTGTGGTCCAGGGACTAAGCGCAAACCTGCCACCTGGGAGCGCGAGCGTGTATTTTAAAAAAGCTTTCTGGGCCCCACCCATCAGATCTCGGAGGTGGGGCTTGGGATCTGCTGTCCTTACTCTGCCTGGGCGGTTTTGAAGCACATAGTTTGAGAAACCCTGGCAGGGCGTTTGCAGACCTCTGGTACATAGTAAGTGTTCGTCTCATTAGCTGCTACTAGTAACAATTTTGGAGATATTGGCTCCCAAACTTCACAGGGCATTCCTCGAGCTACCGGTACTTGTGAAAAGCACAGAATTTCCTAAACACCAGTCTCCTCACCCCAACCTCAGCATACCTTTTAGATGGGGCTCAGACATGCCCTGTTTAAATGGGGCCCCTTGATAATAACCCCACCAAGTAACATTGTGAGGGCTCGGGCTACTGGGGTGGGGGTAAAAGGGTGACTGTGCTGGCCTTCTCATAAGCACCATCTCATTTAATTCTCATATCAACCCCATGAAGTAGAAACCTCTCTTTTCCGGCGGCGCCTGTGGCTCAAAGGAGTAGGACGCCAGCCCCATATGGTGGAGGTGGTGGGTTCAAACCCAGCCCCGGCCAAAAACTGCAAAAAAAAGAAACCTCTCTTCTTCCCATTTTACAGATGCCAAAACCTAAACTCGAGATCATTGTTGGTAAGTGATAGTGTCAGGATCCCAAGGAAGGTCTAGGTCATTAACTTGTGGACACATCAGTGACATTATTTGTTATTAAAACTCTTTCGTCGTGGGGTTTTTTATTTTTTGAGACTCTGTCGCCCTGGGTAGAATGCTGTGATGTCATCCTCACAGCGTTCTCACATTCTTGGGTCCAAAGGATCCTCCTGCCTCAGCTTCCCCAGTAGCTGGGACTATAGGTACGCGCCATAACGCCTAGCTAGTTTTTCTATTTTTAGTAGAGATGGGACTCGCTCTTGTTCAGGCCGGTCTCCCATTCCTGAGTTCAGGCAGTCCACCGGCCTTGGCCTCCCACAGTGCCGGGATTACAGGCGTGAGCCCCTGCGCTCTGCCAAAGCTCTTTCATCTTGGATTTTGGTCCTGTCAAATGATGTCATCAGGGCATCAGATGTCATCAGGGCATCTTTGGCCGCGCACGTCTTCGTCTCTTAGTTTCTTGTTTCCCTGTTAGTGTCACTGCCGATGTCTCGGTAGCTGCAGGAAACAGAGCTCTAAAGAAGAAACGGGGGCGGTGCCTGTGGCGCAAAAGGGTAGAGCGCTGGTCCCATATGCCGGAGGTGGCGGGTTCAAACCCAGCCCCGGCCAAAAACTGCAAAATTAAAAAAAAAGAAGAAACAGTTTTGTTCCTTCCTTCCATTGGTTTCTGTGCACGTCAGGCAGCTTGTAAAACATGGCCGCGATCTCTCTTCTTAGCAAATCAACCAAATTGTATTGTCACGCAGAGAATTCTTGTCTTAGACCTGGGGAAAATTGGGCATAATGTAAATATCCTATAAATTGGCTTGGCGCTCGTAGCTCAGTGGTTAGAGCGCCGACCACATACACCGAGGCTGGAGGGTATGAGCCCCGCCCGGGCCAGCTAAACAACAATGACAACTGCAACAAAAAAACAGCTGGGCCTTGTGGCCGCGCGCGGGTAGTCCCAGCTGCTTGGGAGGCTGAGGCAAGAGGATCGCTTCAGCCCAAGAGTTTGAGGTTGCTGTGAGCTGTGATGTTACAGCACTCTACTGAGGGTGACATAGTGAGACGCTGTCTCAAAAAACAATAATAATAGGGCGGTGCCTGTGGCTCAAAGGAGTAGGGCATTTCACCCCCATATGCCAGAGGTGGCGGGTTCAAACCCAGCCCCAGCCAAAAAGTGCAAGAAAAAAAAAAAATTAATAATAATAAAAAATTTTTTTCTGAAAATTGTAATGGATGGACACCAATTGTATATGCACAAAGCTATTATTTAACTTAGGGAAAATTGTAAATAATGTTGCTGATAATGCCCTTACTTTTGCTGATAAGTGTATGACACGTGGATACCAAGGAAGAGTGTGTTGCCATTAAATTGTTACCTCTATACAGATTTTTTTTGAGACAGGTTCTTGGTAGAGTGCCATGGCCTCATAGCTCACATCAACCTTCAACTCCTGGAATTAAGTGGTCCTCTTGCCTCAGCCTCCAGGGTGGCTGAGACTAAAGGTGCCAACCACAAGCCTGGCCAGTTTTTTTTTTTTTTTTTTTTTGCAATTTTTGGCCGGGGCCGGGTTTGAACCCACCACCTCCATTCCGGTATATGGGGCGGGTGCCCTACTCCTTTGAGCCACAGGCACCGCCCAAACCTGGCTAGTTTTTACAGATGGGGGTCTCACTCTTGCTCAGGCTGGTCTCAAACTCCTGAGCTCAGGTGATCCACCCATCTTGGCCTCCCTAGAATGCTAGGATTACAAGCATTAGCCACTATCCCCGGCATTATAAAGAGATTTTAGTGGTAAAGCACAAAGCTTTATATGTAGGGAAAAGATTAGTTTTACATACATCGTGATCTTACTTATTTTTAAGTGTTGAAAAAAAAGAATGGAAGAAAGTGTTTTGTATAATGTCGTGGCAGGCATGAGTAAAAAGACTGTGATTTTACTCTTTTTATGTTTCTTCCAAATTTTTTGTTATAAACTTGAGTTTTTGTATAAGGTAAAAAAGATTTTTTCATAAAAATTAAGACAGTCATACTAGAGACTGATTAACTCTATTTCTTTAATAAATATTTATATAGTACTTTCTAATGTAATTCTACGTACTGGGTTAGGTGTTTTGTAAATATTAACCATTATTAACTCTTTTTTTTTTCTTTTTGAGACAGTCTTACTTTGTTGCCCTCAGTAGAGTGCTGTGGCGTCATAGCTCACAGCCACCTCAAACTCTTGGGCTCAAGTGATCCTCTTGCCTCAGTTTCCCAAGTAGTTGGGACTACAGGCACCCATCACAGCACCTGACTATTTTTAGAGATGGGGTCTCCTTCTTGCTCACACTGGTTTCGAACTCCTAAGCTCAAACTATCCACCTCTTTTGGCCTCCCAGAGTGCTAGGATTACAGGCATGAACCAGTGCTCCTGGCCCATGCCATTAACTCTTAGTGTTTACTATCAAGAAATAGGAGCCCTGTCAGTTGAGAATGAATTTGACTACAAAAGAAACCCAAACTATACTGGCCTAATGAAGTCTGCAATTACTTGATTTCAAGTTGAAATCAGGGAATCAGTGAAGTAAGGGCCAGAATCTATAGGGATCGTGGCATTTTCCTCATAATTACAGGATGTCTGTAGAAGCCCCTGGCATCACATCTGCATCCATAGCTAGAAGAGGAGTACAGTGCCAGCTGCCTCTCCCTTTTTTTTTTTTTTTTTTAAGACAGAGCTTCAAGCTGTCCCCCTGGGTAGAGTGTGCTGTGGCATCACAGCTCACAGCAACCTCCAATCCTGGGCTCAAGTGAGTCTTCTACCTCTGCCTCCCAAGTAGCTGGGACTACAGGCGCCCACCACAATACCTGGCTTTTTTTTTTTTTTTTTGGTTGCAGCCATCATTGTTGTTTGGCAGGCCGGGCTGGATCCGAACCCAACACCTTAGGTATATGCGGCTGGCACCTTAGCCACTTGAGCCACAGGCACTGAGCCTGCTTTTCCCTTTTTATCATGAATACCAAACTTTTACCTGAAACTCTGCTAGCACTGTGTTGGAGAGGGGCCAAGATTATTTAGACTAGTAGTTCCCATAGTATGTGTGGTTAGAGGGGGGGTTGAAAGTACAGGGTGGGCATAAAGTTCATGTACAATTTAAGATAGTTTAACATAGTAAATTGTACACAAACTTTATGTCCACCCTGTATAGTATAGGGGGATCAGTTGTTCTAATGACATTAATTGGGGCAGGAGATGGCTACTGGTCCTGCAACGTGCGGGGCCTCCCTGCACGTCAGAGAAGTTTCTTGCAAACCATGCCGCTAGATCCCCATGTGCAGCATGGAGCATCAACTTGGATGGCTCAGACTGTACTTAGATCTGGGTACATTGCTGCTGGGACACAACTGGAATTCTGTTTGCAAGAAAAAAGAGGGCAGGCAGCGCCTGTAGCTCATTGGGTAGGGCGCCAGCCACATACACTTGTCATGTGTATGTGATGAGCTCAGATGGAGCTGGCCAGTTCGAGCCCAGCCTGAGCCAGCTAAACAACCCTGACAATTGCAACAGAAAAATGGCCGGGCGTTGTGGCGGGCGCCTGTCCTCCCAGTTGCTAGGAAGGCTGAGGGAAGAGAATCGCTTGTACCCAAGAGTTTGAGGTTGCTGTGAGCTGTGACGCAATGACACTCTACCCAGGGCGACATAGTGAGACTCTGTCTCAAAAAAGAAAAAGGAAGGCAGTAGAATAGATAATGGGCCACCACCTGGCCATGTCTGCCACCATGCCTTTTCTTCTTACCATGAATCTGGCTTGCATTACCATTTAAAGCTGTTTAGAATTAATCTGTGACTTTCCCTTTGCCCCGTGGAGTTCCAGGTGGCACAACGGTGCTGGTTGAGCTGACCCCCGACATCCACATCTGTGGCATCTGCAAGCAGCAGTTTAACAATCTGGACGCCTTTGTAGCTCACAAGCAAAGCGGCTGCCAGCTGACCAGCTCGTCTGGGGCAGCCCCCAGCACCGTCCAGTTTGTCTCGGAGGAAACAGTGCCTGCCACCCAGACCCAGACCACCACCAGAACCATCACCTCGGAGACCCAGACGATCACAGGTACAGCTGGGGGATGGGGGGGTTCAGGCGAGAGTTGGTCTGGCCATGTCTCAAAACACCTCTATGGAACTTGTTAAAAATAGAGATTCCCAGGGCCCACCCCCTGGGGTTGCTGATTCATTATTTTTAACAAGCTCCACAGAAAAGCCAGCTGCCCAGCCAGGTTGGGGAGCTGCTAGGTTAAAACATTAAGTGTTAGCAGTTATAGTCACATGTTAAACAAAACAGACAAAAAACAGGTTTGTAAAACAAAAATCTATATATGAAGAAAAAGACTCCTAGGAAATATGTTGCAATAAACAAAAAATGTTATTGTGTTGGGTGATGGGAGTGATCCCTGAGTTCTCCTTACTTGTATAAAGGGACCAAAAGTGTTTTGTTTTGTTTTGGTTTTTGTAAATTTACAAACAGGCATTGATGACTCCCATGTGCTGCTGACCAGCAAAACAGAAAGCTCATCCTGGTTCTCTGTTTTGTCCACTTTACCAAAAATAAATGACAGATGAATCAAACCCTTAAATGTGCATAATAAAACCATGAGTTCAAGAGAAAATATTAAACTCATATGTAGAGATAGACACAAACACATACACATACCCCACACCTATACTCATGCCTACATAATCTTAGAAGCCAAAGGTAACTTTCAAAGTGTGAAGGAACCCACTTATGAGCTACTAGTGAGACTGCTGGGGGAATGGAGAATGTATTCCTTAGCTAAAGGCATTCGATTCTAAAAAATATATTAATATGCCTACTAAAGAAGGCAGGTTGTGGGCCACTCTCACCCCCCAAAGGGAGAAGAATCATAAATGTGATTGCAAAGTTATAATTTTTCCAAAGTATAAAACAAAGTGTAAACAAAGTCTAAAGACAGAAAAAAATTGCAGCATATGTAATTAAAGCCTAATATCCCTCAAATCCAGAGAACTCTGAAAACCAGTAGAAGTAGAAAGAAAAGAATAAAGAGGAAAAGTCAGCAGCTGAAAGGCCCGGCAGGGTGGCTCACGCCTGTAACCCCAGCATTCTAGGAGGCCGAGGCAGTGGATCACTTGAGCTCAAGAGTTTCAGACCAACCTGAGCGCCAGAGGGAGAGTCTCTTTCTTTCTTTCTCTTTTTTTTTTTGAGACAGAGTCTCACTATGTTGCCCTCAGTAGAGTGCTGTGGCATCACAGCTCACAGCAACCTCAAACTCTTGGGCTTAAGTAATTCTCTTGCCTCAGCCTCCCAAGTAGCTGGGTCTACAGGTAACTTTTGCCACAATGCCAGACTATTTTTTTTGTTGCAGTTGTCATAGTTTAGCTGGCCCAGGCTGGGTTCAAACCTGCCAGCCTGGGTGTATGTGGCCGGTACCCTACCGACTGAGCTACAGGTGCTGCCAAGTCTCCATTTCTTAAAAAAAAAAAATAGCCTAATGTCATGGCAGGTGCCTGTAGTCCCCACTACTCAGGAGGCTGATGGAGACAATCACTTGAGCTCAAGAGTTGACATTGCTATCAGCTATGATGCCATGGCACTCTACCGAGGGCAACAAAGTGAGACACTGTCCCCCCTCACCCAAAAAAAGTCAGTAGGTGATATACAAGAGACCACTCAACATAAAATGATGCTCCTCTAAAGACCTTAGTAAGGAAGGGTCCTCAAACTGCGGCCTACCGAGGACATTTATCCAGCCCGCTGGGTGTTTTTGCTGCCACTGCCTGTCCTGCTTAGCAGCCGACTCGTCCCAGGGCCCGCAGTCTGGCCCTCCAACGGTCTGAGGGACAGGGAACTGGCCCCCTGTTTAAAAAGTTTGAGGACCCCTGAATTAAAGAAATGCAAATCAAAACAAGGTTTGGCAAAACGACACTACTTGTATTTTCTGGGGATGTAAATTCATATACCCTGGGCAATTTTGTGATAACTTTAAAATTGTAAATCTTAGATTTAGAATCTGTTTTAAAATGTATAGAAACCCATTTACTGGATATGTTTACTTCTAAATATTTATCCTATAACACTGTATAAGCACACACACAAAGGTATTCATGTGCAGGATACCATCTAGAAAAAGTGGATCCTCTGTATGGTCTGTCTACATTGAGAGGACAGTAGAGAAATTGTTATCAATGATTCCAACGTGGAAAGGGACTTAGCCTTGAAAAGGGGAGCTAGACCTGTGTACAGATTCAGAAATATCCTCAAGCTGAGGGTCAAAATATACATATGCATACACATTATATTACTATATTCAAGGCAAGCTTCTAGAACAGACATGAGGCAGATAATGCAAAAGAGAAGTGGGCTGTGTGTGAGTATTAGAGAGTGGTGGGGAGTGTGGTAAAGTGAACGAATGTTACATGACTCGTTCAGAAGTGCAGCTGCTTTTTGGATCCAGCCAGTTAGATATTTGGGTTTGTCAGAGAAGCTGAAAAGTGTGAAATTTTCCAAATTTTAAGACTGTTGGCCAAAAAAAAAAAAAGTACACCTGTAAGCCTGATCAAGTCTACAGGTTTCTTCTAGTTTATTCTCAGAGAATGTTTACCAAATAGTTAAGCTGGAGCTAAGGAGTGAGGAACATCAGAAATCAGAGAACCAACTTTCCCCTTGTGAATTGTACATAGGGGTGATGTTTGAATATTTTGGCACTGAGCAAAGTATTGTGGGTTTTTCTCTTAATGCATCTAAAATAATGTCCCTTCCAACTTCTTTAAACATTGAAATAAACTGATAATTTAACCTTAAAAAAAAATCTTGAGATCTTCCCACTTTCTCCTGAATTTATCTTAATTCCCATCTTTGAGGAAGTCACTAAGAAAATACAAAAACTGGAAAATACCCTGTGGCCTTGGAGCTGCATGTGGCCTTCTGGGTCCTTGACTGTGGCCTTGTGACTGAATCCAAATTTCATGGAACAAATTTGTACTAGGAAGTTTAGATTCAATCAAGGGGCCACACTTGGGGATCTGGAGGGGCACACGTGGCCTTAAGGTCACAGGTCCCCAACCCCAGGCTGGTATAAGCTTTTTATGTTACAGCTGGATAAACTGAGGCCACATGTGGGAAAGAAGCAGGACCAAGGTCAGGACAGTCCTGGGACATAATGTGTTCTGGCCCTTACCCTAGTGGTCTTCTCTCTGCAGACTTGGTAGTTGGTCACCTGTCCTTAAAAACAAAGTCCCTGTAACCCACACTCTGCATGTAAAGCGTATCAAACACCCTGCCACTTGGGTGGTTTCAAGGCCCATGCTTTCTATCTGTGGCCATTGTATCTTTCTGGGTCTCTGTTTACGCTGTTCCCTCTGCCTGAAATACCTTTCCCACCTCTGGCTGGCTGACACCAACTCAGTCTGCAGACCTGAAGTTCATTGCGGTCTGCACACAAAGGATCTGGCTTCCTCTTAGGGCACCCTCCTCCCCTCTGTATTTCAGCAGTCATTCTGGTTTATGTTTGTTTGAAACAAGGTCTTGCTCTGTGTCATCTAGGTTAGAGTGCAGTGGCATCATCAGAGCTCACTGTAACCTTGAACTCCTGGCCTCAAGCAATCCTCCTACCTTAGCCTCCCAAGTAGCTGGGACTACAGGCTTATGCCACCATACCTGGCTAATTTTTCTATTTTTCTTCAGAGACAGGGTCTCCCTAAGTTGCTCAGTGTAATTTTGAACTCTTACCTCAATGGACCCCTCATCTCGGCCTCACAAAGTGCTAGGATTACAGCCTCTGCGCCCAGCCTTCAGCTGCAGAGCCCTGGCATGTGCTGTTCCTTTTCCGTGGAACTGACTTAATTCTTACACATAGTCTGAGTTGAGCTTAAAGGCATATTCTCAAACACCCCTTATTTGACCCCACACATGCACTCTTCTCCTAGACTAGGTCATGTCAAATTTAAGGTCTGCTCCCGTCACTGACCCACAAGCATCCCTCCTCTTCCCCACCAGATCCCCAGTGTCTACAATGGCATTGACACAAAAGCTCTCGGTATTGAGAGCTTGAGTTGAGTGTGAACAACTGCTTGAATTTCACAACCACCATGAAGCCGACCCCACAACCAAATAACTATTCCGTCTTTCGTCCTCCTAGCTCATCGTCCAGAGATGTTCACCCTCCTCTTGACACTTCCTTGGCCTGTGATCATTTGATCTTGCCATGTCCCAAGTCTCGCTGACAACCCTGTACATTCAGGCCAGCTGCAGCATCCTCTTTATACGCAGAGGCCTGCCCTGTGCAGAAATGAGGGGCCCTGCAAGCTCAAAGACAGACTGCTGGCCTCGCATCCCAGTCTGCCCCCTACCTGCCCTAGGCTGTAGACACATCATGTGCTCTCCTTCTCGTTTAATATTCCTCATCTGTAAAAAGAGGTCATCATAATGCCTAGTAATCGTTGGGTTATTGTGAGGATTCTGTGATACTGATAAAGGGCCTGGAACGGAGTTGTTGGGCTCAGTACCCGTTGGCTTTTATTAATGGAGTGATGAATGAACAGGTGGTGAGTGGGTGGTGAGATCTGCAGTGTGCGTGGTCCCTGCCTGACTCAGCTGTTCCTCCGGATTGTTCCTGCGTCTTTGCCAGCTAAACAAGCGGAACCCTGCTTTCTCTTCTCTTTCACACATATTAGCCTGCTTTTCTGGGCTCAGCTCAGCACATTGGGCATCCATGTTCCATGGGCGGGTGGTTCTCAGATCTGCCTCTGGGCCAGCATCTCTAGGGAGCTTGTTAAAGATACTGGTGCCCAGGCCCCACCTTCTGAATCTGAGTCTCTGGAGCTGAGGTGCAGGCATCTGTATTTTTAACAAGCTCCCAGAGGATTCTGGGTATCAGCCAGGTTGGAGAGTCACTCACTTGCCCAGTGCTGCTGACCCACCCCCTACATAGCACTTTCTACAGACAATCTCATCCAGGCATTTTCCGGACTTGATCAGTGTCCATCTTCAATCCTTCATTAAACCAAAGCCTTCCTGACTCAGCTCATACATCTCCTCCCTGCCCAATAATAGTTGGGTATAAAATAAAATTTATTCTT